GAAGAGCGTCAGCTATTTCCGGGCAGTAGAGGAAGGAATCGGCCGCAGCGGCTTCGGCTTATTCCGAAAACGCCCGAAGCGAGGGCTTTGCCGGGTTCTCAGGTTGTCGTAACTTTTCGGAAATTAGCTCTTCCACGTTCGGGTGCTTCCGTGGATCCTCGCCTTCCTCTGCGCCCAGTGCCCCCCCACCCCTGCCAAGGGTTCGGATTCTTTCGACAATTCAAACCGTCCGTCTTTGGCCGCTTCCGCAGGGGCTCCCAGCTCTACTCCGCCGGCCCGGTCCGAACAGTCCGCTAATTCCGACAGGCCTAACTGTCCTGGGACTCAGCACTCCCCGAAGGTTTCCGGTGTTCGCCCTCGGGCCGCGCAAGGGATTAAGCTCGATTCCAAGCTTCGGCTCTTTCCGGAGATTCCACTAGCTCACTCCTCCCCTCTCGCAGAACTTCGGCTCTTTCCGCCACCACTTCGGGAAAAGGACGGCTTCGGCTTTTTCCGTCGGTGCTTCGGCTCCTTCCGTCGTCGGGAACCGAAAAGGGAGGGAGGACGAAGACGAGGTGGGTCAAGGGAAGGGATCCGGGGACCGGGCGGCGTCCCGGATCCCCACCTGGCGCTCCAGGTGGGCGAGTGGAGGAAAAGAAAGGCCGAGCTCGTGGAAGGCTTAAGAAGGTGGCGCGAGACAAAAGCAGCCGGCGAGGTGACGGGTGCGCGCGGCTGCTGCGGAGGTTGGCAGCGCGGCTTCGTGCGTCTGCGCAGAGTGGACCCGCTGGGGCGCGAGACGGGCTCGTGCGCCTGCGTAGAAGTCGGTCTTAGGCGAGGCTTATCCGGGCTCCGGGAGGGAGACGGGCCCCCAGAATCCTCAGTGCGCGTGCGCGAGACTTTCCCTTCCCCCAGCGAAAGTTCCGAATTCCTGACAGTTAAGCGAGGCCGCCCTCTGCTGGTTGCCGTAGCAACCGTTTCTGCGCCGCGCTGTCCTGCCGCTGCGCAGGCGCAGCAGGCTGCGTAGGGGACACTCCAGGAGACAGGCTTGCATCACCGTCTCCCGGCGAAAGCCTCTCAGAGGTTCCCGGTCTACCCCGGTGGCCGCCTCTGCTGGAGGTCACTGAGTCCCGCCTCTTGCCGCCGCGCCTCCAGGCTGGGCACCCCAGCGGGTAGTGTTTACGGCCCAGTGGTTCTCAACCTTCTGGCCCTTTAAATACAGTTGCTCATGTTGTGACCCAACCATAAAATTATTTTCGTTGCTACTTCATAACTGTAATGTTGCTACTGTTATGAATCATAATATAAATATCTGATATGCAGGATGGTCTTAGGCGACCCCTGTGAAAGGGTCGTTTGACCGCCAAAGGGGTCGCGACCCAGAGGTTGAGAACCGCTGGTTTGCGCCTTTTCCCCGGGACACAGCTGCTTCTCCCCTCCCACCGCTGCCAGTGGGGCTAATGACACCCTGTCTCCCCGACCTCCCGGTCTCCCGTCTGACCGCCCGCCTCCCGGAACCCCCCACCGTCTCCGTGGCAACGGCCACCCCCGGTCTCCCGTCTGACCGCCCGCCTCCCGGAACCCCCCAAGGCGCTGTCACCGTCTCCGTGGCAACGGCCACCCCGTCCCAGGAAGAGGCCGGGGCCTAGTTTATTCCAAATTTTATCGACTCTTTAATTTAAATTCTCTGAATAATTAATTCTCTGTCTCGTGTGGACTAGGGGGTGGCCCGGAATGCGGGTCCTCGGTCGGGGCTGGGGTCGGAGACCGAGTTCTGTACAGTGTCCGCGCCCTTTTCCCAGGAGGGAGGGCCCGGTGAGGGCGGGAGGAACGAGCAGGACCGGGCCCCTGGGTGCCCGGCTGAGTGAGGAGACACCCCAGGCCTGGGAAGGGGAAGGGTGCTGGGCATGGTGGAAGCAAGGAGGGCAGGGCTAGGTACCAGGGGCCTGGGGTGCAAGTGGGGGTCTGCAAGGGGGGGCGGGGGAGGC